CATCGAGCTGCTCTCCATTGCGCAAGTAATTGTTATTGAGGAGGGCGATATTCAAGTCCGGATTCGAACAAGGAGCGCGTTGAGACGAACATGTCACGCGGTGGTTCTCCCGGACTATATTGCAGAGGGCGAAGAACAAGTGATTGAGATCGACGAAGCCCGAAAGTTGCAGCCACCGTCCTCCTATCCACGTCCCACTAGCCGGAAGTGGATGAGGAGAAAGAAGCGTCATCGTCAACAGTCACTGGAAGCTCAGGCGAGCCGGGTGGGTCCCGAAGAAGAAGTGGTGCAGCCTCCACCAGCGGCAGCCGCCACACTGAACGAACGAGCTGCTCCCATCGTTGGGCCTTCGCCGTGGGCAGGACTCTTCGCAGATGGCCCCCTCCCCAACATTGATCGCGTCCAGTGCAAGAGCGATCCGGGGAGGACACTCTCCCTGCCCATCCCGCCAGACCTCAATCTTGATGGATCCGGTGCAGCACCAGGAGCCGGAGGAGGGAATTCTGGAGCAACACATCCCGAACCCCCTCCCCCACTCGACACAAGATCATCTCGTCCCCGCGCCCCACCCCAGGGTACGTCGGTCATTGTCATTAGTAGATCCTCAGAAAAGGAACATCAATTGAACGGATCTCGACTACGTGGAGGTGCCAGCTTTCATCCGGCTCGAGGTGATCAAAGGACCTCCACGTCCTGATCCGCCGTGGATGCAGTTTTTACAGATGTCATACCATGGATGTACGGTGGCAAGGCTGACGGGGAGGGTGATCGATGAGGAGGGGCGCCAGCCCAACGTGGTGTTTCACTTCCTCGTCTTCGCGTTCTGCAGGCGAGAGCAGCACCCATACACAATGACCCATCTGGTGGTTCCGAGCCCTGCTGATTGCTCCTTGAGTAGATGGGTCATCCGGGCCGTGGCGGATCTGGCGCCACGCACGCTGTCGCATGTCCTTGGAGCCTCCTCTACCCGTCCTTCGTCCAACACCACTTCAACGAAGTGGATACACCGACTACGCCCGCTGAAATGGCGACTTTTCTTCCTCCCCTTCCTCCTCCTCTTAATCCTGAACCGGATCACCTCATTTGAGCCCCCTCCTTCTCCCTCTCTCTCCCCATGCTTCTCGTCTTCTCCTTATTTTCTTGTTTAATGCTGATAGCGATGGTGGCAAAAGAACGTGTGAGGGTTCGTGCTGTAAAATAAAGAAAAGGATGACGGTCGATCGGGCCAGCTGACGATGAAGTGGCCGCCTTGATCATCTCAACAACATGGACACGTGGCTGGCAGTCAGGAGACTGCCAATTTTCCGGAACCCCTGCGTATCACAGATGTGATAATCCAAGCTCCGTGCTTCGCGGCTTCACGTACCGTTGAGACTGAAACCTGAAGTAAGCCCCGAAGTACGGACCTTGACTAATTACAGGAAGCTGGGTCTGTTTTTGAATTTTTCTGGGACGATGGCTGGTATCTTTCGAGATTGCCCCTGTCATTGTTGAAATTACCCTCGTGCGGCCAATTAACGACCGCGCAAGAATTTCAAGAAACAATTATGAATTTTGGTTGACGGAATTTCGATTTTTCCTGCATCAGCAGGTCCATGCGCGCCTATTTTTGAATTCCTGCTCGGTATGCAAGCTCGCCTCCCGCCTTGAGTGTGCGCCAACTTCCCTTTTTGCTGTCCCTCGTCTCCATGTGACCCTTCATCTTCCCCTGGCCTCTTCGTCCGATCCCCTCCCTGTCCTTTTGGCGTGCTTGATTGTTCGTCAGTTGGGTTGGCCGGATCAAGCTGCAAGGGCGAACTTACGCCCACGGCTTGAACGAGCAACCCAAGTGTACGAACATGTTGATCGTTCCACCTTCTTCAATCCTGTGGAACCTTCTTCCTTCTCTCTTCCTCATCCCCTCGCTACGCGCCTTACGCGCTGGTGCCCCGCCGCCTTCCACACTATAAATTTGCGCAGCCCCTTCCTCTCCCGCTCTTTGATCTCGGCTGCAATGCTGCGCAAGCTATGCGCAAAGACCACGGCGCCGAACAGGCTCGGTGTGCCCAAGGAACGGGCGGAGTAACGGCATGGGGTGGAATTAGCGGCAGACTTGGGGATAAGGCAGTCGGAGGGACTGAGCGGTGGTGGAGACAGGAATGTAGCCAGTGGCAGGGCCTTGTGGCTATGGTTGGCTTGCATTCAGTTGGGTTGGTGGCTGTGCACGCGGAGTGCCAGCATTGTTGTAATTCTGAACAGCGAGGGAATCACTTCTTCTCCATCACTGCTTTGCCCATTTGCCGTGTGCTCCAGAAACTAAGTGTGGATACTCACTCGTGTGCATGGCGTTGGGTGTGAGTGGCAATGGATGCCGAATGCTTCCTGTCTGAAATTCTATGGATGCGTGGATGCGGAAAGACTATATGGTGGTCTTTGTTTTTATCGCGCACATGGGTGCGGTTCTTGGGGTCATTGGGTTTTGGACGTTTGCTTGCATGCATGAGCATGCTGACACTCTTTGGTTCCCGATTAACTGCCGATCCCCGCGCCTCGTGTGCGTGCGAGATCGTCGCCACCCTTTTTCTCCCCTCCCATGCACAAGCGCGATGTCAAATTTCTCCGTTCACCCAGACGGGCCGAGCAACCAGGGACATTGGCCGTGAAGACTTCGGTGATCCGCCCGATCTCTCAGCCTCTCGGCCATTGCCATTTTGACAGGGTGGCCATTTTGGTTGACGACATTGTGTGAACTGCTTGCTTTGATCGTTGAGATTGGGGGGTGGAGGGAGAGTCGAGACTTGCATGGGGTCGAGGTTTGCTACTCTGAATGTGAGCGCGGGTAACTGCTCGTTCTCAAACCTCACATCGATTCGCCATAGCGACCTTCCTCCTTTTCCCATCGCAGACGAGAACGGTCTTTACCTGTGATGCGGACATACGGAGGGCGCTATTGCGGACCGATCTGGCAGCCTCAGTTCAATTGTCGATGGTGTCGGCTCAGGAACTTGTGTTCTTGGCGGAGAATGGTGCTGGGCTATGAAGGGTCAGTCCGATTACCAAAACCCTCCCGCAGCACGGGAGCTCTTCCGGCGAACTTCCGGACCTGGGTACCCCCGCCCCCTCCTCCGTCGGATGACGAGACCTCTAGCCGATCGGGCGGACTGTGCGGACCCAATTCAGATACCTAGGGTGTCCCTTGTCTCCTTACCTCACCCACCTCCCCATGAAAAGGGTGGCGTGAACCTGACACGGGAAAAGCGGTAGATTCATAGTTTTGTTTTTGTTTTCTCAGTGTCCTTGGCAGTTCTAGCTGGTGGTGTAGTTGTGCTCTCGTCCGTAAGCCGATGAGCGGAATTTTCCCCATGCCCCGCCCTTCCGCGCGTATCTAAGTCTGGAATTTTGCAGTTCTCCCTGATTGGCCTGAATTTCCGAAGCAACCCTCGGGGCTGAAGCGAGGAGCCCCAGTTTTGCCCTGGCGGTTCAACCCCCGCCCAAAATCCTCGAACAAACCCCCATTACTCTGATTGGTGTTCCACGGGTGCAGGACGCTGCCCGGGGTGCGAGGTTGCGTATCACACGCACCTGTCCTGTCTTTGACGCCTCCAAACTCTTACCTTTTTCGCAGACTGATGAGGTTTCCGCTTGGTGATAAATGCTGTCCTTACCATGGATGAATATGTTGACATCAATGAGACCGATGAGCACAAGGTACTGAAGAGGCCTGGAAGAAGAAGACCCCCGGAGCTGCAGATGCAGTACAAGGTGACCTTTAGACATCACCTGGATCCCGAAGAGGATCGGTGGTTCACAAGGGACGAGCTGTGAAAGACTTCATGTCAGATTGAGCATCAATATGAGTGTGCTTTGAAAAGGGAAGCAACAGCTGGATTGATGGGCTCTTAGAGGGCTTTGGAACCTGAGGGGGAGGGAATGCGAGGATTGAGGACCTCGGCTAGCCAGAAAAGCTCCTGCCTGCCCTAAGTGAAGGCGGGCCAGGCAGGGCCAGGTAAAAATGCTGGCCCTACGAAAAAGGCCAATGTGAGCAGAAAGGGGCCCTGGGTCATTGCCAGCACGTGTGCAGCATCTGTAGCTAACCATAGGCCCAGCCCACAAGTTGCAGATGCTGGGTCTGCGTGCTCTTCCGGGAGGGCCCAAGTGTAGGAAACTGGGACAGGGAAAGCCTGGCCACGGCCTCTCCAGGCTCTCCAGCCAACACAAAAGAGAGAAGGCCGCCCAGACTCACACATTCAGGCATTCTGCCAATGCGGCAGCTCTGCTGGAGCAGTAGCTGAGTGCAGTGTCCTTGGGAAGCTGCTGTGGTGGCAGCAAGGAAGAAGAGGGAGAGCACCAGCCATAGCCGGGTTGAGCACTCCATCATCAGGTGGTGGACGTTGCGGAGATCCTTGTGGATGAAGGGAGAAGGACAGACAAGGGAGGTGATGAGAACGAGGCTCATACCTGCTGTTGACGAAGGCAGGCTGTTCGATCAGAGTCTTCAAGCGGCATTGGATGTGTGACATTTGACAGATTGGTGACATGTAGATAGGCTACATGCATACAAGATAGGATGCAGACTGGGCTTTCAGGACGCCAATAGGAGATACATTGTTGTTGCTTCGGTGATTGGAGGCGTTGGAAGGGCTTTCTTTATCAAAAGGCTTCGGTGTATTGCTCGTTCCTATTTGGTGTGCATTTCACTTTGTTTTCTGCTTTCATTTGGGCTCAAGTATGTCCGGTCTTCTGTGCGATGTCGCAATCTGGTTTATTGCTGTTCTCATTGCTTATTTCCTTGCATCTACATTTTGGGCTTCAGGCGGGATTTGAATCCACCACCTCGCCAAAAACTAGTGATTGTTTTTGCTGTTTCTACTGCCGGTGAAATTCGGACGTAGAACCTGTGAGTAGATCTGAAGCCAGGACCGGGCCTAAAAGTACATTACAGGTTTTACACCAGGCTTAATTAATGAGACACTTACCATCCTGCTGACCTTCGTTCTCTTACTGCATAATATGTTCTGCAGGCAAGAAGATAAGTCCAAAATGGTGTCTTCTGATGCTCAGAATGAGTCCCCAGTCTCTACACCAGCAAAGAAGGAGGCTCCAAAGGAGCCTCCAGTTTCCACACCAGCAAAGGAGGCTCCTCCAAAGGAGCCTCCCGTTTTCACACCAGCAAAGAAGGAGCCCCTTGTTTCCACACAAGCAAAGAAGGAACCTTCAGTTGCCACACAAGCAAAGAAAGGAAAAGGTGGTGGTGATGCAGCAGCGGGACCTCCGCCGACCAATTATAATCCTCCAACGAAATGGAGGTACAAAGTGGTAGGTCCCATGCAAAGCACCTTTGTTCCCATCCTATGAATTGTACAGTTCCCAGAGATCAATGGATTTGAAGTGCTTCTTGTTTGTCAATTTTAACCATACTTTAGACACACGTGTGAGGATTGAGCCCTCAAGAAGGGGCCTTGCCATGATGTACATGTTCTGGGCTAAGGCCCCAGCAAGCCTCGTGCCCGCCCTAAGTGAAGGCGGGCCAGCAAATCAACAAGAGCCCTCTGTACAAACATTTCACGAAGTGGGGTCCTTACAGTTGCAGCACGCCAGTTGGTTGGAGTGCACCGAGTCTCGGATTTCAGCAAATGCTGAAAACCCAGGGCCTCTGAGTTAGTTAGGCCCTGGGCACTTGAACGTGAGGCCGACAATGCATGCTGGGTATAGAGGCCGAAAATGCCAAAGGGAAATCGGCCCAATATCTGAATCTGGCCGCAGGCCTTGACGAAAGAGGCGCAACTGCATCCCCCGGGCCCCAACTGTATCGGGCCTGGGTTCAGCGACTGGGCCCCAGACGCAGGCTGAAGGGAGGCCGCCCACACGCAACACTGGCATATAGGCAAGTAGGGCGAGTGGGCAGGGAGCTTGGCCAATGCAGGCATTGCGGGCACRCTGCRCAAATGCAAGTGTGCTGYGCTGTGCAGAGCTGCGCTGTGCTGGGTTGAAGCAGGCTAGCGCTAGGCGGTAGGGCGCTGCCTGCACASAGGGCACTKGCGGCCATAGCCGGGCCGCATGAGRGTGCAGGGGRGGTGAGGGCGAAGGTGGTTCTTCGGAGGTGAAGGGCGCTGTGTGGGTAACAAGGAAGAGTGTGGGGGAAGAGGACACRYACCTGGTGGAGGTGGAGGTCGGCATTGGTGTTGACATCATCACTCGCTGGTAGTCAAGTTGTCTGGTTGCTTTCATTGCTGYAGTTGTAGGCTTAGTCYGTAGAGTAGATAGGGCGCCTGGCGCCATTCATAAGAGAGAGCTACATTGGGTTATGCTGTTGGTGTTGCCCTGTTGGGCATGGACATTGACTCACGATTCTTCTGTATCATTCTCAATTGGATGGTTACTCGGTTCCATTGTGCTATCTGCTCTGGCTTTGACTAGTTGGACTTCAGTGTGATTTTGCATTCTGGATTTCTGTGCTTCGTCCATATTCATGTTCCTTGCAATTTGGTATCGGAGCTGGTATGATTCGCCACTTACCTCTGGCACGCTGGCGTTATACAGACTTGGTGCGTTGACGATGCTTCTTCGCAGTTGGTACTTGTGACGTCAGGCCATATATAGGTGCACGCCCTGGGTAGAGAGGGGTGCGCCGGAAGGCTAAGACGGGAGTGTATGCCGTGGTGACATGCGGAATGTATGATTGGTGATGAGAGCATGCTGATGTGGCATTCGGCTGAGGTGGCACTGCATTGCGTTGTGGGTGGTACCGAGGCCAAGACCGGTCATCAAATGCACACTCAGCTCAATTGGTGAGAAATCTGTGGTTGGGGGCAGCTATCTCCAGGTACGTTGTTCCCTTACCTTATCTACTCTGTCAATCTCTTCTTACCGTGAGGAAGTGAGTCCAACTTGAGAGTCCTCTCTTTTGGTGAGGTGTCGTGAGCGCGCTACCTTGAGAGACGACAATCTTCCCGGAAGCATCTGGAAGGAGAAAGGGCGGTGCCTCTGAAGGGCCCTGGTCGAAGCA